CCGCCACTGCCACCACCGCCGCGCCTGCCTTAGTGGCCGCGGTCGCCGCCTCCGTGCGCCAGAGCCCCGGGCCGGTCCTAGCGCGACTGGAGGGCCGGGAGTTCGAGTTTCTGATGCGACAGCCCAGCGTCACCATCGGCCGCAACTCGTCGCAGGGCTCGGTGGACCTGAGCATGGGCCTGTCGAGCTTCATCTCCCGGCGCCACCTGCAGCTCAGCTTCCAGGAACCTCACTTCTATCTGCGTTGCCTCGGCAAGAACGGTGTCTTCGTGGACGGGGCCTTCCAGAGGCGGGGAGCGCCAGCCCTTCAGCTGCCCCAACAGTGAGTGCGGCGCCACCCCCCGGGTCACCCTTCTCCGGATCTGGCCTGGACCCCCTGGCCACCCGCCGATCTCGACCCCACCGGGCTTAGTCCCTTGTCACCCCCTGATCTCGACCCTATCCGGCCTGAACCCCTCGTCAACCCCCTCAACTCGACTCCTCCTGGCCGGGCCTCTGGGTCGCTCCTCCTCCCCATCCCATTTCGTTTTTTTGTTTTTTTTTTTTTGTTGTTGTTGTTGGGTCCTAGCCCCTGGTCACTCCCTCCCTCATTTCGACCCTGCCAGGCACTAGCCTCTCCAATCTCGACTCCACCCGGCTCTGATTACATAGACATCTCCCAGTCTTGACCCCACCTAGCTCTGAACCCCTGCTTACACTGATTGATCTTGATCCCACCTGGTCCGACCACCTGACTACCACGTTTCTCCACCCAGCTAAACCTGAACCCTAAGATACCGGTGATCGCGACCTTCACCTGGCTCTGACCCTGTGATGTTAATCACGACCCAGCTAAGCCTGACCCCCTGTTAGCTCACTGGGCCCTTATCCCTGGGTGGGCCCTGACTGACTGGTAGGATCAAACTCAGACCCCACTCATCCTGAAGCCCCCTGCCACTCCAATCCTGGAGAGACCTAAACACTGGGGTTCACGCTACTCCCCCCCCCCCCACATACTCCTCTACTTCATCTGGCCTCCACCCCTCCCATGCTGGTCCCTTACTTTCTGAACCCAGGTTGCCCCTAATCCCACCTGCCCCCAATACCTGGGGCCACTCTTGACCCTCACCTTACCAGAGAGGAGCAGTTACCCCTGACTCTACTTAACCTGAGAGCCCTAGGGCCACTCTTAACCCCTAATCTCACCCTGCCTAAACCTCCAGACAGAAGTCATCTCTGACCCCTGTTGACTTGAGAATGTTAACTCACCCTGATCTCCATCTAACCTAGTCAGGACTCTCTGGGTCACCCTAGATTCTTCCAGCCCCAAAACATTCCCTTCCTCCAGGGTCACTCCCTGACCCTTAACTTTCCCCTGGCAGCATGAGACCCCGCTCAGCCTGATCTCTTCCCCCCCACCCATGGCCCTCAACCCTGATTCCATTTAGGCAGAGCCACCAGGGCCACTTCTGACTCTCGTGGGTAATCTAGGTACACTCCTTGTCCTTGACTCCCATAGGTCAGGACCCCAGTGTTCACTTTCTTGGCCTGGACCTGGAAGGACTGCTGAGCTGCCCTACCCCTGTCTGGGAGGGTGTTCCCCGGGAGGTGTATGGTCCAGGGAGCTGCCTTGCTTGGGAGACAGTCCATGCCTTAAGAGCAAGTCTGGAGGCAGCGGCTTTACATCTAGTATCTGGGCAAGAAGTTCTGTGCCTCTATTTACCCCCAAAACATGGTGGGAAGTACAGATCCCTAGCTCATCCCAGGTCCCAGGCTCACTGCTTCTGTGACATTCGACACCATGCCTACTTTACCCTCTTCCAAGCTCCCATTATTCCTAGTTTCTCTGTCACCCTCGAGGTCCAGGACCTTAAGATCTTATGTACTAGGGGGAAGCCATGTTAATTGCTTCCTTCCCAGCACTTTCTTTTTCTATTCAGTAATTGCTTCTAACTCTCACTGGTGTTCCTTTAAGGTTCACGGTCAGGTGTGAGTGTCTGTCTGGTTACTCACATTTATGAGCTCCCTCAGTGTGGAGCTTTTGCTGGGGTCGTTCCCAGGTCTGGAGTATTTGCCATTGTATGTCCGCCTTCCCAGGGTTCAGATACGTTATAGATTATAGATTCCGACTGAATAACTTTGAACACCAACAGTGACTCATCTTACTAAGGTGTGAGAAGGAATGTCACCTTCTTTTCCCAAACCGGAAAGCTGTGTCCCTGTTGAGTGTACAAGGGCTGGACTGTAGCTGGGTGGTAGACAGACCACTTACCTCCCTAGCTCACATGAGACTCTGTGATCCATCCCCACCACGGAAAGGAAATAAAGCCAGATTGCCTGGAGGAACAATCGGTCAGTCAGTGGGTCATTAACTGCATTCCTGGGCCTGAGAAATTGACAGACGATCTTTCTCTTCATCTTCCTCGGGCTCCTTCCTGTAACTCAGGTTCTGGAAACACCTCAAACCCCTGTCTTCTTAGGGTTCTTATCCCAACCACCCCTGCCAGAGTCTAGCTTACTGTATTGTTAGGGATGGGGCTGCACATGCAGAAGTCAAAGGAAGAGGCCACTGGGCGTCTTGCTCTGTCACTCTCTACCTTATTTCCCGAGGAAGAGTCTCAGACGGAACCTGGAGCTAGGTTGGCAGCCTGCAAGCCCCAGTGATCCTCCTGTCTCCACCCCCACGGCACTGGGGTTGCAGCCTCGCAGGAAACCACACCTGGCTCTTTATATGGGTGTCAGGGATCCAAACTCACGCCCTCCTGCTTGTGCGGCAAGCGCTCTTACTCACTGACTTCTCCCCAGCCCCACTCCCTGCCTTTGGAATAAAAGACTTTTTTTCGCGTGGGATTGTCTCCCCATGGTGGACAAATTTCAAACCACAGGGTCCTGCTCATCTACTGATCAGGGCCGAGGCTGCTATTTTTGAAATGATGTTGTGTGCAGTGCCTGGAAATCTGTCTCTCAGGAGCTGGCATGTGCAGTGGGTACGTGTCTGAGCATGGTGGCTTAACTGGCAGGGAAGGGATTTACCATAGAGCCCTGCAGCCCTTTAGATGGGTGCAGAGTGTGCGTGTATGCATGTGTGTGTGTGCATACTACCCATTCTTCTGACTGTATGTTCACGTGTGGAGACTAGAAGTCAACTTTGAATGTCTTCTTCATTTAACCTTTCCCTTATTTTGCGGGGCAGGGTGTTTGACCGAATCTGGATGTCTAGGTTGGCTAGCTAGCAAGTCCCAGGGCTCTCTCTCTTCCTCCTGAGCGCTGGGATTGTGATCCCTTGCCAACATGTCTAGCTTCTTTATGTGACTTCTCAGAATCAAACTCGGGTCTTATGCCTGTGTGGCAAACCCCATCGGAGCCGTCTCGCCAGGCCAGCTGCGTGTGTCTGACTGGGGGAGTGTTTCTGAGCACAGTCCCTGCCCATAGAGTCATAGGCAGTGTGCAGAAGGAAAATCAGCAATGGAGGGCACATCTACCCTGCTTCAGGGAAGCCTGTCAGCAGGCCAGCTGAGCAGTTCTGGGGGTCTCCCATGGTTTTTGACCTAGGGAGCTTTAAAAGAAATGGTCTCATGGATAGGACAGGATGTTGTCAAGTTTGGGGTTAGAGTGCTGTTTCAGCATGTTGACATTGAAAATACTCCAGTGAGTTCAGAGCAAGGCAGTTGTAAGTATACTGTGTGTGTGTGTGTGTGTGTGTGTGTGTGTGTGTGTGTGTGTGCTAATGTACCCATCCTTTGCTTGGGTGCTGGGGATCTGAGGTCCTCACGCTTGCTGGCACTTCACCACCAAAGAGACCATCCTCCAGGACCAAAGCTCGCTTTTTTTATTATCTTCCCCCCAATTTTTGTCTTGAAATGAAAAGTTCATTAGTGATCTGGAAATAATGGCAATTTTTTTCTGTGCCTATCTCTTGTTTTGTTTGCCTGTTTTGCATTAGAATTTCGTTGACTTAACCATTGCCTGCCTTCAGCAAGCCCCAGTAGCTCCAGGCTTGGCAGTTTTGTCCCTTGTGGACACCCACACTGATTCCCAAAGCAGCGCCATCCTTAGCTGCCTTCTACTCCACCCTCAGGATAGATGACAGTGACAGCCATATGGGTGACATTTGCACATGCCACACATCTCCTAGGCATCTCCCACACAGGAGAAAAACCAGAATCCAGCCCCAATGGTTGCTAGAAGTTTATCTTCAAACCTTCAGTACTTTCAGTTACTGTTGTCGGGGATCCTTGGGTGGAGAACCACCCACAGCTGCCGCTGTAAGCCGTAAGGGCAGAGGTGTGCTGGGGAGCAAACCTAGGGCTTTGTACTTGCTAAGTAGGCACTCTACCACTGAGCCACACCCCAGTTCTTCACTGGGGGATTCTAGGCAGGGGCTCTACCACTGAGCCACACCCCAGTTCTTCACTGGGGGATTCTAGGCAGGGCTCTACCACTGAGCCACACCCCAGCCCCTCACTGGGGGATTCTAGGCAGGGCTCTACCACTGGGCCACACCCCAGCCCCTCACTGGGGGATTCTAGGCAGGTGCTCTGCCACTGGGCTGCATCCCAGCCCCTCACTGGGGAATTCTGGGTAGTTGCTGTACCACTGAAAAACACCCTCCAGCCCTCTTTATTTTTTATTTTGAGACAAGTTCTTACTAAGTAGTCCACGGTTCCCTTGGACTCTCTGCGGAATAGCTAGGATAACAGGCCTACATCACCAGGTCGTATCTATGTCTCGAGTTTGAGTCGCCCTCTTCTTGAGTGGGCTTCCGTGCTTGTGCTCGCAAGTGTGTGTGTGTCTGTGTTGGTGATGGTGTCTATATGTTTCTTTTTTCCGTTTGCTTTGGAATTGGTTTTTGAACTTGAAAGATGCATTTACCCCTTCTTAGCTCTTCCTGCTACAGTGCCACAGCAGAACACTTGCTTCAAGTCCCCTGGTTACGCTCAGCAAGGGATTGAGTTTGATCCCCACTGCTGAAGAAAAAATAAAAACACTGAGTACTGAACTTCCATGTGCCCAGGACCCAGCATCCACAGTGGCTGTCTACTCCGCTACTCCGTATCTTCCTCCCCAGTTATGCTTAATCTAGAAGCAAATTGTAGGTGTTGTGTTGCCCTGAGAAAGATAAGGATCCTTTAAAAGGAGAGAAAGGTCACCACGGCGGCTCATCTCACCTACAAAAGAAATAGTAAGCTACCCTGTCAGCAGTACTCACTCAGAACCCCCCTGCTTCTCAATGTTCTGATTTCTCACCCAGGATTTACTAGAAACAAAGTCCAAATAAGGTCCAGACATGGGGCTATCTGTCTGTCTTCTATCTCTTGTGTGCACATGTGCCTACGTAACTAT